TGCGGTTCTTCACCCCAGATATGTCCATAAGCCGGGGGGAAGGGCTGCTCCGGGGAGGTGGCACCTTGCAGGGCACCTCAGGCAGCCCACTGCCACCTCCCTCGAGCAAGCCGTGCCCAGCGGCACCGGAACGTTCCTTGCCTGAACACAGATGTTATACATTAGAATTTAGATCTTAATTTTCCTTGATGAAAGTAAAAATATCCATGACATCATTTTCCCGTAGGAAAATTTAAACAAATCCAGGGTCATCTCATCACCTGATGTTGAATGCAAGTAGAATATGCAAATGGCAAAACAAAAAACCAGGGAAATGCAAAGCATATTTTAATTAAAATTATTACAATTCCAAATAGAAATCAAATCGTTAGCACAATTAACATTACATGATTTTATTTTTAAAAGTGAAAGAATCCTCTTGAGAAAGCTACCATGGTTTACCACGTATTGGATTTCGCTTCATTTTCAATACTCAATAAAATATTAATAGGAGAAAAAGCATGTAACCACATTTCCAACCGAATTAAAGGAAAAAAAACGGGACTTGCCAGGTAAGTGCACGCAGACAGGCGCGTATGTTCTAAAGCGTGGAGGATCACTCCTATGCTTTGGATGAAAAATCTTGCACAAACCAGGCCTACAGTACACACACAACACGCAGTTCGTTTGTACCTGTGCGGAGGAAAGGCTGGTATTGCCACACCTAAATCCACACAGTTTCAGACACTGTACTATGGCTCCAGCTGAGTGACCAGAGGCAAAAAAGCTCAGAACAAGCCAAAAATTTATTACTGTTGAGAGGAGAGGAGAGGAGAGGAGAGGAGAGGAGAGGGAGAGGAGAGGGAGAGGAGAGGAGGACTCCCCACGCACCCTGAGGAGCAGTAACAGAAGCTCGCCCTGGTGGCCCTGCAGCTCTAGCGTGACAAACGAGGAACGCTAAGCTCCACCGAGAGAGCCGGGATAATAACCGGGGTGTGCTCGTGGCTGCTGTCAGACACAACTTACTGGCTCCGTGGATTCCAAAGCCAAAGGCTCCCGACGCAACAGCAACGGGCGCAGCGGGGAGCACAGGCCGCGTGCCGCAGCGCGCGGTCCACGTCCAGCCAGACACCAGCAGAATAAACGTAACGGCACAAAGTGAGAACTCCCCGGGAATCCCGCGTTGGATTCAACAGATTTAAATTCCCAAAGGCAAATCAGAGGAAAATCAGTAGCAATTTGGCTTTCTGTGTCATCTTCTTCAGCCATTTCAATGTTCAAGTCCCAGTTTTAAACGTCAAGCCTTATGGTCTGCAAACTGCAATGAGAAGGAAAAATGAGAGATAATCACGCTCTGCACCTATATCGACCACGTGCTTTGTTTCCTTCCCATAAATAAGACACATTTTAGCACCAGATTACCTCCATGCTCTGTGCTGGCATATCGAAATACATGGAGGGACAAAAACTTTCCTGCCTGCACAGTACATCAAACTGCTTACATCTGCTGCAATTGCTGCAGGACTCAGATTTACACTGCACCCACCAGTACCACCGTGTTCTCTCACACAGACAAAAGCCAATTTCAAACATCTTTATGTTTTTAATTCTTTTTTGTGGATACAGGTGCCTGCAGGGATGCAGAGGTAGCAGACGAGAGCAAGGTAGCGCTGAGCCTAGTTCTGCCCAGCCACTGACTTGGAGCTGACTCAAGGTCCACCAAAGACTGAACTCTGTCCTCGGCGCTGCAAGGACTGCTGAGGAGTCACCAAATCTGCAGAATTCCTACCCAAAGAAAACAAGCAGACAAACCAACGAGAGTTATGGTGCTCCTACACTACAAAGTACCAGCTGGGAGAAGGGAAGAAGCAAACCCGGGCTTTTTTAGTGTGGTTATTTATTAAACTTTACTCCAGTACTCGCTGAAGCCCCTCTTCAGCGTGTGCCTTGCTGCAGTCCTTGGTTTGTCTCCTTCTCTTTGACCCCCCTGCCCACCCCCCGGCGTGGCAGAGACCACGCTGCCCTGCCAAAACATTTTGGCTGCCTGGTAGCACCATACCTAACACCTGCGTCTGCCTGCAACGTGTGATCAAGCAGATACAGGCTAGGAGTACGCTTAGGTTTTGTAAACCAAAGTTTTTGACCATCCAGGAGTGAAGTTCTGTACCTTTAGGTTTTGTAAACCAAAGTTTTTGACCATCCAGGAGTGAAGTTCTGTACCTTTAGGTTTTGTAAACCAAAGTTTTTGACCTTCCAGGAGTGAAGTTCTGTATCAGGCAAAGAGGATACTTGGGAATGGAACTGAAGTTGTAAAGACAGAGTAACAAGTTTTATGGATGGGATTGTGTGACAGTAGTTGGCAGTTCCTTGGAACAAAAACCAAGCTTGCAACAAGAACCAAAGCTCTAGTGAGGGTCCTGGAGCCACGGATACCCTGAGATCTCCAGCAGCATCTGTAAGGACTGGCTGGGGGTTTGCTCTGGCAGCAATACCTCCAGGCTCCGTTTGTTGCCCGCCACGACCAGGAGGACATTCTCCTTCCTCTCCCCAGCACGTAATTATGCTTATGAAGGTTGGAAGGATTTTAGACTTCCATGGAAGCTCTGGAGAACAGACAAAAATCAGAGGTTGAGGCAGAGTGCCGGGGCAGGCTTCAGGTATCTGCTCCACATGCTTTGCTCACACGCTCAGATCTAAAGCTGCCATCACATTTCACATCAAGAGGAATTTTCCTGCATTCACAAAGGTCAGGAACACCCTTCTGGGGAAAAGCAAGGGCCTTTCACGCCACATGATCTGCTTCCTAGGGAAAGCATTCCATCTGGGAAACTCGCCTCATGAGTTATCCGCGATTGCAGACGCCAAAGACATTGGCAATGCCCTCGGAAAGTCACAGCGTGATAAATGGAGAGCACAGTACGACGTGGCGTATTCTGCAGTGAAATGCTGGTACATCAAACAGCAAGGCTGCGGCTGCCAACGGGGATCAATCAGACCGAGGTCCCGGTCCAAAGTCCAGTGCTCATACTGTATATTTTTCAGCTATGACTAATCCTTTCCAGTAAAAAAAGGGATTAAAAAAAAAAGCTTGCAAAGGCCCCCATGACTGGTTCAGTCACAGCATTAGCCCACCCAAAGCACGGCGTGAACCAGTGTAGGACCAAAGGACATTAGGGCTACAAGGATGGTGAGGGGACTGGAGCATCTCCACTACGAGGAGAGGTTGAGGGAACTGGGCTTGTTCAGCCTGAAGAAGAGAAGGCTG